TAATTTACCTATACTTTCACGATTAGTACAATGTTACACGTTTTGCCTAATTGATTTTAAAGATATCAATATATAATTTATAATGAACGATCTATCAGTTTCTTAATGAAATAGTATGTTTGCATGCAAAAACAGTGTTCATAAATCAGAATCGAAGTGAAACTGGACAACTCGATGATAATTAGGAAAGTGACAGGGTAATTACAACGGCTGCCGAGGAGTGCGGCCGCACTTATACGCTAACGCGCATAATTCATCAATTATGCCTTATTCTGTAAGACGTGAAGTTGATATTTGCAAAACAATCGGACAATCTTGGAATTTATTTCAATTGAAACAAGAAGATAGATGTTAAAATATATTTTTGAGTATTCGATAAAGAATGCGTGCTGTAGCCGCGTAACAATACGGTTCTTGTGATGAAAATAAATACGTTAAATTACAATAACCTCTGTTATGTGCGAGTGCTTACTTTTAGCATGATAGTCATGTATATTCCCATCGGTATTGAGTCAGCTATATTTAAAACCCTTTGTCGTTTTATTAAAATGAAGCAAATATTATATTACCATCGGTATTTTACGCAAGAGCATCCGGGTGATGGAAGGCCGGCTATCCTCGACCCACGCTGGTTCTGGCCCAGCGGGGTATTCCGTAGGGTAACCCACTCTAACCGGTGCCATCTAGGCGGGCTTCGGACAGTCTGCCGACTGAGAGGGCTGGTGGTCGTGGCGCCGACGACCGCCAGTCCGGCGTCCCGAGGGGGAGGGTGATGGGAGAGATGTGCTCCGCACCAAACGCTTCACTTTCCTCCCTTTGCCTTTTCATGAGTTCTGTCTCATGCGAGGTTTGGACGTTGGTTGTTGAGCGACAGGAGGTTTTAGTCAGTTCGACTCTGACATACCCCGCCCAGTATCCCCAGAGAAGGGCGGAATACCGGCGATTTCCTCCTGACCAAAAAAAAAAAACCATCGGTATTGAGTCAGCTATATTTAAAACCCTTTGTCGTTTAATTAGAAAGAAATAAATTTTCTAGTTTTGTTATAAATTATTAGACGTGCCATGGCGTACGAAAATTTTGGTATAACGCCTGTGAAATATCTAAATTTGCCAGCGGCAATTTAATTACGTTAAAGTCGCCAGACGGGCGATGAACAAGCGAATGAAATTACTCTAATGAAGTTATGATACTAAAAGTAATATTAAAGAAATGAGCATCGTTGCCTTTTTTTTATTAACGTCTCAAGTGTTTTGGTAATATGATTTGGGGACTCGTTTTAGGTTAAGGGATTAGGCTAGAGGATCACTGAACTCTCTCCGACTATTCATAAGTTGACAAGGGTAAGCGAAACCGACGACGTATCGGTCACCTCTAGTTGTTGCTGCTACATACCTTTAGCTCATCATACCCGACATTACGCACGAAGTAAGAACTAGGACCGAATACTGGATTACTGACGGTTTGCGTATATTCAACACGCCCCGAGAATAATCCCGCAAAATTATAATTTGCGTAATTACTGGTCGAAGGACGTCTTGAGAGTCCGCACGGGTACGGTTACCCTGCCTATTTCTGCCGTGAAGCAGTAATGCGTTTCGGCTTGAAGGACGGGGCAGACGTAGTTAAAAGTGAGACCTACTCATGTTTTAAGGTGGCTGGTGGTATTTACGTTGTAGATGCGGCTTCAGTAACCACTTACAAATTCGACAGGTGTATGACAGAGCCTTATTACACTCAGTATAAAAAAATAATCATCAGTATAAAAAAGTAATCATTTTGTTGAATTATTTGAGTACAATGGAATAAGCTTAAATAGGCAGACCTCAATTTCGAGCTGCTATCACTACGTCCCCATCATTTGTCCGTAATAATAATAATAGTATTCTCACAAACTTTTTTAAATTAATCCGATTACTAATAACCTGTCTTGACTAGTTAATCTCAAACCTACTGTTCCCAAGAAGATTGGCTGTCTATCTGAAAGTAATACTGGATCCGAGCATAAATCTTTAGAAAATTTGGTTTATTGAAATAAAACCAAAATAAGAAATAATTTTTTTCATTAATAACTTTTTCACTTTTACTATTGTTTGTCTATTCGAGTATACATAATACTATTTAAAGGAAAAATGAAACCATTTTTTGTACCTAGTTTTTTTTTATGTTTAAATTGAAATTGATTTAGCGTGTATTTCTGGGTTTTTATTTTTTCCACTCGCGTTACATTTGCAATTTAGAAAAAATCAAACATGTTGCTACTTGTGGAGACTATTAAACGGTACGCAGCGGCTTGGCTCTGCCCCTGGCATTGATAACGTCCATGAGCGACGGTAACCACTCACCATCAGCAAACCGTATGCTCGTCTGCATACAGGAGCAATAAAAAAATAAAAAAAATTTTTTGGTGGAAGGGTCGCCTAAAGGCCTTTTCGGTTTCACTAGGACAGGTGGGCAAGTGTGGGTTCAGCCAGGAGTCGAACGAGCGCCTCCAAGAGCTAGGCCTAGTAGTTCGAGAAGATGCATGTAGATGCAGTAGTAGGTACTAGTAGTAACGGACCGAGATCGTTATCTGCTGAGAAGATTTTTTTTATTGCTTAGATGGGTGGACAAGCTCACAGCCCACCTGGTGTTAAGTGGTTACTGGAGCCCATAGACATCTACAACGTAAATGTGCCGCCCACCTTGGGATATAAGTTCTAAGGTCTCAAGTATAGTTACAACGGCTGCCCCACCTTTCAAACCGAAACGCATTACTGCTTAACGGCAGAAATAGGCAGGATGGTGGTACCTACCCGCGCGGACTCACAAGATATCCTACCACCAGTAGATTTGGCAAGAAGCTCGCCAGTGTGATGGGTTAGATTAGATTAGTTAGGTAGAGTACGGTTACCAGGGTCCCGATGCCTGTTCCTAATATTAGAGCCGCTAATAATTGTGTTAGTGGTCCGAGTGGATCAGTAATGACCTGTCTAGGCCGGCGATCGTGACTGGCTCCTAAATGAGTCGGATTTCGGATAGGTACGAACCTCATTAGTTCTGTTGAGAAGCAATGAAAACAAAATCCTTAAACATCCATAAAATTACAAAATTTACTAAGAAAATTACGAAACCAAATAAAATTTCAGAGTATTTCGTTCTGTACAAGACTTAGCAACTGAAACATACAAAAAAATATTGATGGCGTTAAAAATGAAGTTACGAGTGCGAGGTAACGAAATGATACTTGAAACCGTCATTAATTTAACTGTTCTTTAATTTTTCATTAGGGGTTTATGGTTTCGTTTTTCACAAGTCCGAGTATAATAACTTGGAACATTTCTTTTACTGAAGTCATCATCATCATCATCATCATCAGCCTTTATCTGCCCACTGCTGGACATAGGCCTTCCCCAATGCCTTCCACATAATGCGGCCCTCCGCCTTCCGCATCCAACTACTTCCCGCCGTGCGCACTAAGTCGTCAGTCCACCTGGTTGGAGGACGCCCCACGCTCCTTGTACCCATCATACTGAAGTAAATTAATGCAATTTTATGTAATGTAAATAAAATATAATTTACTGGTGGTACTTACTGGTGGTAGGACCTCTTGTGAGTCGGTAGGCACCACTACCCTGCCTATTTCTTCCGTGAAGCAGTAATGCGCTTCGGTTTGAAGGGTGGGGCAGCCGTTATAACTATACTGAGACCTTAGAACTTATATCTCAAGGTGGGTGGCGCATTTACGCTGTAGATGACTATGGGCTCCAGTAACCAGTACCAATCAGTTGAGCTGTGAGCTCGTCCACCCATCTAAGCTTAAAAATAATAATTAAGTAAGTGAAAGAATTCAATGTTTACGAGTACTACTCTACACGAGAAACACATTGGAGGTTATATAAGTAGTATTTATATTTCAATAGTAAAGATGGAATCTGTAACACATGATGGCAGGATATTGTCGATATTCAAGCGGACCTACCGAAGCGACTACAATCAAGTTTAAAAATGCAACAAATTAACGAGAACTTATCTTCTGTAAGAAAATTTAATGTAGCAATTTAGTGTAGCATCGTATGAGGACAAAAAGCGAGTGTTTGCTCTCGTAAAACAATAGAAAGCAATGAAGCAAAGGGCGCTTCAACGTCAAGTGCTTGCTATTCACACACATCGTCGTCGAGGGCAAAAGATATTGAATACATTTCAGTTCTCGCACTGAACAAAATGTTGCGAGAATTCAAAAGCCCCATAATTGAAAGTCATATGTATGTTGAAATAAGACAGTTTTGTATGTTAAAAAGAACCGATTACTCTTAAATATCCGAAATATTTTTGGTACACGTAGATGGGTGGGTACGTTTACTGTTTTTCAGAGCCGTATTTTTACAGTGATATTGAGATTTGGTGTTTTTAGTTTAGCGACGATTAAAATCGATTAATCGAATAAAATAAATAAAACAAAATTAAAATATTAACTCTAGCCCGAAAGAGTTTATCAAATAAATAACTGGTAACAAATCAGACACGGTCATCTGGCCCCTAATTCGGATTTTCTGTGTTTTGCGTACCAGAGACTGACATACATATACGTTTATGTACATATATAGATAATAAACACCCAGAGAAAGAGCAAACAAAGCTGTTCATCTCACAAACGTTTGCCCGATGTGGGAATCGAATCCATGACCCTCGGCACGACAGTCAGGGGCGCTAATTACTGCACCACCGAGTCAATGAAATTATTAATTACTAGCCGTACTCGCCCGCTTCGGTGGGCATTTAAAATTAACAATATTATTTATTTTCATTCTTATTAGGGACTCCAACACTCATATAAATATTAGCATATCCATTAAGTACATGTATTTTCTACATACCAAGTTTCAAGTCAATCAAATGCATGGTTCAGTAGTTATACGGGACATCCGTAAAAACCACTGTAGATTTACATATTACTAGTACTAGTATAGATAGATATAGATCAAGAGAACGATTTGAATGCAATTTCGTATAATTGTTACAGAGGTGACGGTGACATACCGCCGGGGGTTGCCCGTGATCACGGTACCGCTGCCCTCAAGACGCGAGCGATGCCGCTTTACACTACGTCCAGTCTCTCAGACCGTCGGCGACCTCCTCGAGCAGGTGAGAATCGACCTCAAACATTAAACGTACCTTGGTGAATTGAAACTTCGTTGAGCGCGCACATAATCGAATTGGATAACATATCGCACCTTTAGAATTGAAGTAGCTTAAGTAAAAATAATAAGAAAGTGTCTTTTATACTATGAACGTCTTATAAACATGTATTCTATCAGTTTATAAATTTATTTATTTTAAATTAAAAATGAAAATTAAATTTTGCTTAGAAAAGGACAATGTATACTTTCCGTCACTTGTAAATGAAGCACATACCTTAATTTTTAAGGTATGCGCTTTAAGGCTTAAATTATTAAAATCAAAACTGAAAAATTACAATTTTTCAATTATATTTTTGGCGTTTTCCAAAAAACAAATATTTTGGATTAGGCCACTTCAATTCTGAAGGTGTGATATGTGTTCATAATATTATGTATACGAAAACGTCATTACGACACGAAGAATAATAATAATCTAAATTCTAATTTAACGTAACTTTAATGAATGTTGTGTAAGTCTTACTTTAATGAATAAGTAGGTACTTAATTACGACTTAAGTATAGTATGGGTATTTGATCAGAATTGGTATCAGAATACACAATTCTTTAACATCAACAAAGATTTTATTTGTAGCCGAGATTAAAATATTTATTTATACAATTATTAATCTACAATTTACGAATTTACCCTCACAGCCGAACCTCATTAAAATGTTTTAAGATTTACTTAATAAGCCAGATAAAGTTAACATTTCGTCCTAAGACCCGGGGCAGTAAGTCGATGAACTTAAGGTATTATCGTAATTAAGATTCATAATGATAACTCTGTTCAAAGGTCCCGTTGGTTTGAGTAATAGCTCTGGCATAACGACCTCCGAAATTTAATCAAGATTAGTCTACTGAGTTTCTCACTGAATCTTCTCGGTGGGTCGCGATTCCGGTCCGGTTGTAGATTCTGCGAAACACTGAACTTGCTAGTGTTAGAAAATTCTTTCAAGCTCAGCTCGTGAGCTTCGCTACGAATGGAATAACATCCCAGGATAGTGAAGATGTTAAACTTAGAAATGCTGTGTATGAAGAATTAAGTTTCAATTCAATATTACGAGTAGTAGCATTATATTCAATTTGGCATAGAAATATCAAGATATTATTAAGAACCAATACTTTATATTTTCAAATTGTCGAAAATAAGAATAGAAATTCTTTAAGACAGAATTATTAAAAACATTCGTCTTGTTTATTATTTATGCATATTCTTTCGTGTGAGAGAGGTTCGCTATAGACTATAGTAATAGTCATTTATGTGATGTATGTAACGTGAAGAGTGTTCACGAGCGCTCACGCTCGGCGATTGTTTTATTTCATCTGTGTGCGTTTCATAACGGCGTAAATAAATAAAAAATTAAAGCTGTTGGAAAATTGTTATTTATGTATAATGAATTTTTGGAAGGAAGTTCCTTATGGGACGGAAAAAACGTCCGTAACGTAAGATTTTTATTAGTAATGCACACAGTGTACGACTTAACTTTGTAATAACGTACAAAAAATAATATATTTTTTTATCATTCATTGACCACGATCTCAGAGCGTTCGTTTGCGCAATACGCTAACTCTTATGCAAACAACCGTGAATGAAGTGTACCACAACAAGTTCGCACGTTACCGAATGACCGTGGGTTGTTGCGAAATCTCCAGTTTTATATTCTTTATACCCCGAATAAAACTTTAAATTTATATTTTTATAATAAGGAACTTCGTTCCTATCCGGTGTCCTACGACATCTTTTTTTTTATTGATCTTGTAGCAGACGAGCACATGGCCCACCTGATGGTGAGTAGCTACCGTCGCACATGGACTTCAGCAATGTCAGGGGCAGAGCCAAGCCGCTGCCTACCGCTAAAATTTTGTTGATGTTAATTTATTTTCACAGGTGAAAGCAGAAGACCGTGGGGTGGAGCGTGCTGCTGCACTGGCGGCAGACGAGCGGGTCCGGATCTCCTCGAGTGACACCATCGAGTCATTACTGGAAACCGATTTCCGACTCATCATTAACGACACGGAGTACTACGTTAAGAGCCCGTCACAAGTTAGTACTCACCTACCATACAACAGTATAATCATATCGAGGAGTAAAAGGCAATTTTTTTTATTGCTTACTAGCTGACCCGGCAGACTTCGTAGTGTCTTAATCGATAAATAAAAGACCTAAACTTTTGTATAAAATAAACTTAAAACAAACAAAAGTAATTCGTCCGACGGGGGACACATCAAAGGAAAAACAAAATTGTTATTTTTATTTAATTCCGAGCATTTTCATGTTTATCTACCTTTTAAACCTTCTCTGGACTTCCACAAGTAATTCAAGACCAAAATAAGTCAAATCGGTCCAGCCGTTTTCGAGTTTTAGCGAGACTAACGAACAGCAATTCATTTTTATATATAGAGATTTGGGTGGACGAGCTCACAGCCCACCTGGTGTTAAATGGTTACTGGAGCCCATGGACATGTACAACGTAAATGCGCCACCCATCTTAAGATATAAGTTCTAAGGTCTCAGTATAGTTAGTTACTACGGCTGCCCCACCCTTCAAACCGAAACGCATTACTGCTTCACGGCAGAAATAGGCGGGGCGGTGGTACCTACCCGTGCGGACTCACAAGAGGTCCTACCACCAGTATTTGATTTACGACAGATTTCGAACAACACGCGACATTTATTTTTCTAATTGAAAGGTCTGTTTTGTTTGGTTTTAGCATCAACAATTCGATGTTTTTTGAATTGAACTTCAATTAAGCTTACCCCGTTCTAATAGCCGAAGTAGTTTTTTGTTACGATATTTTTTCCAAACTATAAGCTTTAAATGACTCCGGTAATACTGCAAAAATGTCGCTTAAACCAAATCGCCATTCACCCCTCGATATGACTGTTCCCTTTAAAATTATGTAACATTTACACGTTTAAAAATCTGGTTGTAGGTGCTTGTCACTTATCTAACAGCCGACTTCATCTTATTCTAAAATTGAAACTCTAAATCAAACAAAATACGAGAGCTCAAGATACTCTTACATTTTGTGTATAAAGTTTTAATATTTAACACTACAATGCTATTATAGTAATAATCAGTGACCACGATTGATAACATCTTTACGAAAAGTCAGTCACAAAAAACGCTTTAATATCTGTTCATATTTTCCGAAAGCATGTTATTTCGATGACTTCCATATTATCTTTCTCTAGATTGATTGATATTGAAAACGGCGAGATATTGTGTGCGCATGTCACATCTTAATTGAATCCTGGCCGAACGCCAAGCAATTTTCTAACATAAGTTCTCTATTCAACGCTTAAAGAAGATTACTGGTCTTAATCTTAGCGCAGGCATGCGCTGTGCATTCCTAAGTACGTGTATTCACCCACACGTTTTGTATAAGAACGCATTATACAAATGTAATATTAAGAGCTTGAAGAATAAATTACTGTTATTTCTTTCTTTAAAATTTGGACGTCGCTTTAGGGAATATTTGATACTGATGGTATACCGCTAGTCATAAAAGAATGCTCTGATATTTCTAAGGATTAATGCGGAATGACTAACCATTTACCGCTGCGCTAAAAATATAATACAATAGATTATCTAGAAATTTCTAAAATTGGTTTTCGAAATCGAACGTTGTTCAGAACTCGAACGCTGAACAAGATTAGAAAAGTTATGTCCATTTTTCGATTAAGAGTAACGTCAGGTGTGTTGTATGTTTTACTACGAATGTAGTGTTACTATATTCCCGTACAATTTATGTTTGAACTTAAACCGGGAACAGAACAATTTATAAGCATCACGTAAAGTTTTTGTTGCATCGTTCCCTGGTGTTCCATTTTATAAACGCCATTTATTACTATACAAACGTTAACATCCTAGTAAACAAAGTAAAAGACTTAAATAATAGTAATTGTGTTTTGAAACTGTGAATAGTGTTGAATAAGAAAACATATAATAATTTAGCCAATAATGTGTGTTAAAAAATTAAATATAAGTAAGTCATCTATATATTATATAAAAATGAATTGCTGTTAGTTAGTCTCGCTAAAACTCGAGAACGGCTAGACCGATTTGGCTAATTTTGGTCTTGAATTTTTGTGGAATTCCAGAGAAGGTTTAAACGGTAGATAAATATGAAAATGCTCGGAATTAAATAAAAATAACAATTTTGTTTTTCCTTTGATGTGTCCCCCGTCGGACAGATTCCTTTTGTTTGTTTTAAGTTTATTTTATACAAAAGTTTGGATCTTTTATTTATCGATGGAGGCACTACGAAGTCTGTTGGGTCAGCTAGTAATCGAATAAAATTTTAAAGGTCACCTGATTTTCGTTTAAGAAATTTCCGTACCTAATCCTATCACGAGATATTATCTGTTATGTGGTATTGTGAATCGCATGTACATACAGCAATGGTGTATTCTGAAAGCACTAATTTAGTGAATTGAGCTGATAGCGAATAGAACAATACATTAATGAACCCACAATGGTGCTACTGAACCATGTTCGAAACCAATCCGTTAGTTTTTGAATTCTTACCACGGCAACACGGGTCGCGATTTGACGGTGCCGTCGCGATTTGACATCTGTCACTTTGTCTTGCTTCTCGAACGGGACGGTACCTGTATATTGACGGTCTACGCTAAAGTTGTGTATCATCGCTAATCCTTATCCATTCCTGCCCCATACCCTTCTCCCTAAGTGATACGGCNCATAGCCGGATGGTACGTGGCAAAAAAGATCTCTGGAAACGCACTGTGGATGACCGCAGTGGCTCCAGGTAGTATGGATGAACTCTACTCCGGTGGCGGGCGGTGCGATGGTAAAAACGAGATGCCGGTATCATCTCGAACAATTCCTCAGAGCACTCCCCATGGAACATACGGTACAGAATACAGAGGGAACCGAAGTATAGTATGGGTATTTGATCAGAATTGGTATCAGAATAATTCTTGAACATCAACAAAGTTTTTAGTTAGTAGCCGAGATTAAAATATTTATTTAAACAATTATTAATCTACAATTTTCGAATTTACCCTCACAGCCGAACCTCATTAAAATGTTTTAAGATTTACTTAATAAGCCAGATAAAGTTAACATTTCGTCCTAAGACCCGAGGCAGTAAGTCGATGAACTTAAGGTATTATCGTAATTAAGATTCATAATGATAACTCTGTTCAAAGGTCTCGTTGGTTTGAGTAATAGCTCTGGCATAACGACCTCCGAAATTTAATCAAGATTAGTCTACTGAGTTACTCACTGAATCTTCTCGGTGGGTCGCGATTCCGGTCCGGTTGTAGATTCTGCGAAACACTGCACTTGCTAGTGTTAGAAAGTTCTTTCAAGCTCAGCCCGTGAGCTCACCTACCCGTTCGTATGTAGCTGGAATAATATCCCAGGATAGTGAAGATGTTAAACTTATAAATGCTGTGTTTAAAGAATTAATTTTCAATTCAAAATTACGAGTAGTAGCATTACATTCATTTGGCATAGAAATATCAAGATATTATAAAGAACGAATACTTTATATTTTCAAATTGTCGAAAATAAGAATAGAAATACTTTAAGACAGAGTTATTAAAAACATTCGTCTTGTTTATTATTTATGCATATTCTTTCGCGTGAGAGAGGTTGGCTATACATAGTAATAGTCATTTATGTGATGTACGTAACGTGAAGAGTGTTCACGAGCGCTCACGCTCGGCGATTGTTTTATTTCATCTGTGTGCGTTTCATAACGGCGTAAATAAATAAAAAATTAAAGCTGTTGGAAAATTGTTATTTATGTATAATGAATTTTTGGAAGGAAGTTCCTTATGGGACGGAAAAAACGTCCGTAAAGTAAGATTTTTATTAGTAATGCACACAGTGTACGACTTAACTTTGTAATAACGTAAAAAAATATTTTTTTTTTTTATCATTCATTGACCACGTTCTCAGAGCGTTCGTTTGCGCAATACGCTAACTCTTATGCAAACAACCGTGAATGAAGTGTACCACAACAAGTTCGCACGTTACCGAATGACCGTCGGTTGTTGCGAAATCTCCAGTTTTATTTTCTTTATACCCCGAATAAAACTTTAAATTTATATTTTTATAATAAGGAACTTCGTTCCTATCCGGTGTCCTACGACATCTTTTTTTTTATTGATCTTGTAGCAGACGAGCACATGGCCCACCTGATGGTGAGTAGCTACCGTCGCACATGGACTTCAGCAATGTCAGGGGCAGAGCCAAGCCGCTGCCTACCGCTAAAATTTTGTTGATGTTAATTTAATTTCACAGGTGAAAGCAGAAGACCGTGGGGTGGAGCGTGCTGCTGCACTGGCGGCAGACGAGCGGGTCCGGATCTCCTCGAGTGACACCATCGAGTCATTACTGGAAACCGATTTCCGACTCATCATTAACGACACGGAGTACTACGTTAAGAGCCCGTCACAAGTTAGTACTCACCTACCATTCGACAGTATAATCATATCAAGGGGTAAAAAGCAATTTTTTTTATTGCTTACTAGCTGACCCGGCAGACTTCGTAGTGCCTTAATCGATAAATAAAAGACCTAAACTTTTGTATAAAAAAAACTTAAAACAAACAAAAGGGATCCGTCCGACGGGGGACACATCAAAGGAAAAACAAAATTGTTATTTTTATTTAAATCCGAGCATTTTAATATTTATCTACCTTTTAAACCTTCTCTGGACTTCCACAAACAGTTCAAGACCAAAATAAGCCAAATCGGTCTAGCCGTTCTCGAGTTTTAGCGAGACTAACGAACAGCAATTCATTTTTATATATAGAGATTTCGGTGGACGATCGCACAGCCCACCTGGTGTTAAGTGGTTACTGAAGCCCATGGACATGTACAACGTAAATGCGCCACCCATCTTAAGATATAAGTTCTAAGGTCTCAGTATAGTCACTACGGCTGCCCCGCCCTTCAAACCGAAACGCATTACTGCTTCACGGCAGAAATAGGCAGGGCGGTGGTATCTACCCGTGCGGACTCACAAGAGGTCCTACCACCAGTATTTGATTTAAGAGAGATTTCCC